ACAGCTTCAAATTTGAATTTAAAAAAATTATAATAAAAAAATTAATAAAAGAACCTGAGTCCATAAAGAAAACTCCTTTCTGTTCTGTCTGACTAAAAATCTCGGGAAAACCATGCTGGAGAACAAGAGAGATGACTGAATACACTTGTAATACAAACACTTATGAAGCAGGGGCTCCTTGAAAATGGAAAGTATGTATATCGTGCTGTTCATGAATCAGTGATCTGTGAGTGAGTCTGATTGCTGATCCAGAGGTGAAAGAAAAAATGCCTGCATTCAACATCTTTTTCTATTGACAAGTAATCAGGGTCATTCACATGTTCCTACGTGTGATAAAATTTACTTTCTAGGTTTTACTTTCTAGGTGCTTAGTTCTGCTACTGCTGTTTAAATGAGCTACCAGGTACTTGCATTTATCTTGTAAGAGTTAGATATTTGAGTGAATTCAACTTTACTTAATGTAAGTTGCACACACAGTGTATAATTATTATTGTACCCTCATGCTACATAATGTAACTTTCACTGGCTCTTTGTTCATTTAATCATTTTATGACACAGACATTAACTGACTGTGTATTATGTGCCTGGCACTGTGCTAAACTTTGTTTGTAAATCAAAGACAAAATGATCACAACAGAACACACAGCCTGTGCCCAGATTTGCCATGGAAGATTTGTCATGGACAATCAAAGGAGTGTCCTTTGGTCATAATTGGTGTTGAGGAACTTTGTTGAATAAGTGAGTATGTTATCAATGACATGTTTTGAAATCAAAAGTCTTTCTTTTACCTCATTTATATTTACTTATTACAAAATTTCTAATGTCCAAAAATTCATAGAGTCTGAACTAGTGGTTATGCAAAAATCATCCTTAATAATCCTATATCCTCTTTCTCTGACACAGAAATGTACTTCTTTATATTTGTTGGGAAGACATTTCACCTTCTCTGGAATTGATTACAGTGGCTGAGAACTCCTAATTTTACATCATAGGATATTAGTGCTCAAAAATTAATTTACAGGGGCGCCTGGGTGGCTCAGCCAGTTAAGCATCTGCCTTTGGCTCAGGTCATGACCCTGGGGTCCTGGGATCAAGTTCCGCATTGGGGTCCCTGCGCAGTGGGGAGTCTGCTTCTCCCTCTGCCTTCCCCCACTAGTGCTCCCTCTCTCTCTCTCCCTCTCTCTCTCAAATAAATAAAAATCTTTAAAAAATAAAATGAAAAAAATTAATTTACAACCGAGAATACTATAAGAAGAAATAATTAAATAATATATAAACAACTATTTTAAAAGAATGTTATTAACAGGAAAAAAAAAATCTGCTTTCCAACTAATATTCTAATCCCATTTTGTCCATCTTTATTTTTTTACAATGACTTGCCCAGCTATCTGGGAATACCCATAGGTGGGGACCAGGTGGCAGGACCAGATTGGTCTTGTTGGGCAATTTGGCCTCAGATGAGCCCTGCTTCCTTTGCTTTTTGAGTCTTCCCAGGAGATAGTCCTGTCTTCTTTCCTCTGACCACATTCCTACCTTTGATATTGCTACCAGTAATTGGAGCCTTATCTTAAGGCTTATCTTGTCCAGTGCTCTAATTTCTTTGAAGATGAAGACCCAAATTGATGTAATCAATTTTCATAGCACTGTATTTATGTCCGATACTTCAAATCTTTGATTGGCTGCCCATCACTTCTTCAGATTCTTGAAGCTATTTTACTTTTCAGCCAGATTCATATTTATGCCAGCCTATTAGAATCTCTTATCTGCTAATGCTTGTTGCCATTCCACTCGGTATGTAACCCATCTTTTCCCCTCCCAATAAAAGCCAGACCTATTTACCACCTAGCTAAACCTCCTGAGATCTTACTTTACCATATTAGTAGCCTCTGCCAGACTGCACCTTACCATCCATTTGTCCCAAGTTCGGTGGAAATACCTAAGTCATTCTGCTCTGGTCTTCCTAATGTCAAACAAACTCCAATTCCTGAAGCCTCTATCATAGCACCTTGTTACAGAGAGTCTGTACATTGAGTTCCATTTAGTGTTATCAAGAAAGCCAAAGTTACCAATGGTTTCTATAAATTTATTAATCCCAATGACATTCAATATGCACCAGCAGCTGAACTGGATACTTGGAATAGAAATCCACATAAGGCAATTTAATATGTGCCCTAAACTGGGAATGGCAGACTCATAAATCAATGAACGATAACAATGCAGTATGCAGAAGTGAAATGACAGCAGTTAGAAAATGTGGTACTAGAGCTGAGTTTTGAAGGAGATGTAAGAATAAGCTCAGCCAAGGGTCACTTTGAAAAGAGGGGAGAGGTTGCTGAGAAGAGAAGACACAATGGTCCTCCCCAGTAATTGCAAAGCGAATGATTGGGTATGTGGCCATGTGGTGCATTCCATAATTGCAAGTAGTTCAGATCATTGAGAGGGAAGGGTATGTGGGAGAAGAGAGGTTGGAGAAATAAGCAGGGGCCAGAGGGAGAGGCTGTTCAGTGCCAGTCCAAAAACTGAAGGTGGCCACAGAACGACTGTAAGCGGAAGCTATTATGAGCAATTTTATATTCTTGGAAAGACCACTCTGATAGAAACATAGAGAATGAACTGGGAGTAACCCAGACTGAAAGCAGAATGGTCCCAACGAGAAGTGCTCTTGGGCCACATTCAGACAGAAGCAGTGGAAATGCACGTGGGGCTGTCACTCTTCCACAAGGCTTTACACAAGTCAGAGGGATAAAGCTTGATGAGAAGCTGAAGGGAATGGAGACTTTAGGGGAGAGATGATAGTAGTTTTTATTTTAGAAGGGGGAGCAAAGCAAAAAGTCATCTAAGAATTCAAGGTATTTTTTTTGAGGTTATTAAGAAATGACAAATATTTTTATTTGTTGCGTTGGATTGCTGTCCCAAATCAAAAAGAAGGCATGCTCTCTTTGGAATGAGTTCTTTTGTATATTAGAAATTATAATATATGTTATAAATTTCTTGCAGTTCATTCTAAGGTATCATGATGTACACAGAGCAAATAATGTACACACCACTAAAAAATCCTGTTCTAAATAATTCAGCACTCAGTGTCACCAACCACTTTGTTCTTCCGTTCTCCTTTAAGACTGGTCCTAAAGTGTCTACCCGCTAATGTAAACACGTGCAGTGCAATTCTGGCAAGTGTGGTCTTTTTGACAAAATTAAATTTTGAATATATAATTATTCTAAAGGTTGAACATTGCTGTCTGACTTACCTAGACCTTTGACTCTCCTTACCGACTTTTTAAGATCTATCCCTAAAACTGGCGTCACTTGACAATCATTAGTATGATTCAGAACGAATATTACCCACATTTGGAACCAATTCCCTAAAATGCATAACTTTTTCGCTTTTATAAAAAACATTTTCCATTTTTCATAGATGGATTCAAAGTCCAGCCTGAGCAGATATAATTATAAATTATAGTGCGTAGAATGTCCCACTTATTAAAA